TACTTATAACCCTACCCATCGACCTCCAAGTAAGGTCTAGGGTCTAGGTAGGGGTTGCTGCAAAGGGTTCTATGAGGGTTGATAGGGGTTTAGTAGGTGCAGTGGCCATTGCAATTAGAGGTATACCGTTCTTACTTTCCAGGCTTCTATTTTGGATCTCTTGATCAACAAAGATGGGGATCCGTTTTTTTGTAGGGTTTCTATACATAGCGGTTTATCAGAGTGTTCTGGTGTTTTAGAAGGGCCTTCTAGAGGGTTTATCGGGCTCTTCGAGTTTTGTCAGGGCTTGTAGCGGGTGCTTCAAAAAAAGGTCGATATAAACATTAGGATAGGATAGGGTGTGGGGTATTTTAGCTGGAAGACATTGAGAACTGACAAGCGGACAGTGTTGTCACTTTCCGGAAGGAGGGCTATGCCTAAGTTCTGAATGCATGTATATCTTAGGGGCTGAGAACCCTGGCCCAAAAGAGGTTAACCTTTTGAATTATGGTAGAACTATATAATTATATAAGCCCCAAAAAGCTAAAGGTTACCTGCTCAGTTTTGGGATATGGTGTTTCGTGGAACCCTGAACCTGAGACCCTAAACCCCTACCCCGGACCCCAGACTGGCCCTAAACTTGGCCGAAACCCAAAACACCTGCGAGAATGCGCTGAGATCCCTAGAAGAGCCCGAACCCTCCAAAAACAACCCGAAAACCCTTAACCCTAAACGAACCCCTAAACCCTAAAGCCCCAAACCCCTAAACCCCTCAACCCTAAACCCTTTTAAAACCCCTGAACCCAGTTCTTGCACCCCACCATCGCCTGACGGGCCAGGGCGATCTGATCCAAAGCAGACAGCTCCTTCCACGCCGATATCCTTGGGAGGTTGCTCTCTTTTTAGGGTTTAGGTTTAGGGTTCAGGGTTTAGGGTTTAGGGCTTAGAGTTCAGGGGACTCTGACTTTAGGATTTCATTTAGGGTTCTCAAGCTTTTACGCTGACCGAGAATTGAGGATTCAAGGCGTGGGCTGGGCACAGACACGCTAACCCTCCTCTCCCCAAAAACCTAACCGCTATAAACTCATGCGGAACGCGAAAAGGCCTGCATAGATCCCTGGGAAAATCCCTAAAACATCAACGCCGGCGTCCCACTCTCTCCCGCGATGGCCACAAGAGGGTTGAGGCCGTATTGGAGAATCTCGGCTTCGAGGAAGTCGACGAGTCCCTCGGCACGGCTCTTGGGTTTCGACTCTCGCGGCTCGCACAAGGCAGGCAATGCTCTTTTTTGAACCCTAAACTCCTAAACCCTAAACTCCTAAACCCTAAACCCCTAAACCCCAAAACCCCAAACCCCTAAACCCCTAGACCCTAAACCCCTCAACCCCCAAACCCTGAACCTTAAGGGTTTCGGGATTTAGGGCTTTAGAACTTTGGGGGGCTCTCCCTAATTCCGGGACCCGACACTGCACGGCCCTAGAAGCCTCGACTCAAAAACCCACAGAGTTGAGAATCTTAGGATCTTACTTGGAGGTTCAAGGGTAGTTCTAAGTGGAGTTATAAGTCCCCTAATATGGGTTATAACTATAGTCTAGAGTTACCCTACTTTGAGCCTACTTATAACTACCCATGAACCTCCAAGTAGGGTTTAGGGTTTAGCGTTTACGGTCTAGGGTTTAGGGGCTTTAGGCAAAACTCTAGAACCCGTGCAGCCAGTTAGACCTTGGGGTGCCGGTGTTTAACTTGGGAGTGTCGGAATATAAAGCAAGGGATCGCAATGTGGGCCCGAAGTGCCAAGACACTAGCATAAGGACACCTACATAAAACGCTGAACTCCATGAACCCTTTTTATTGATTGGAGCTCCCCCGGCATATCACGCCCTAAACCGATCGAGCTCAGAAGAGCCACCTCCAGGTCCTCGAGTTGACGGGTCTTCGCGCGCTGGATCAGCAGGAGCCTGAGTGGGGAGTTCTCTGGAGTTCACTGAAGTAGCGTCGTTAGGGTTTAGGGTTTAGGGTTTAGGGTTTAGGAAATCTCAGAAGACTACGGCACCCTGATAGACAGGACCCTTCAAGGGGCCCTAATTTTGGAGAATTGCCCACGTGCGCGAGCGGCAAGACGGGTAACACTGCGCACACCCCATGCTCGGAGGACAGCAGAGCAACTCCAACATAGGACTTAATATGATTAGGCTGGACTTCGACTTGCCCGTAGCACAAAGCAACAACAGAGCCTTGGTGTCCAGGGCTGGGGGCGTTTAGGGCTTATGAGAGGCTTGGGCTTTTGGTCGTTGGGAGTCTTCAGTTTTTGGGTTAAAGATTCAATTTGGGCTTCCTCTGGGTTCTTGGCTCGCCTTGCTTTGGGGGCTTTGGGGTTCTGTTTTTCGGCAGGGGGGCGGTGTAGCCCTTCTAAATTTCTATACTGGTTCAAGCTCGGGGTTGGATTGCAACTGCCTCGACCACATCTGAGAACAGCCACATAGACTCACATGCCCCAATGCCGGCCCGTGGAAAAGTCGCCCACCCACCCATCCACCCACCCGTGACAAGAAAAGAACGCACTAAACTGACAAACACCACCAAGTCGAAAAAACAAAGATACTACTCGAAGTGAAACGACCAACCATACCTTACAGCCCTAAGTCTAAGTATAACAACACCGTACACCCACCCTTAAAAACAAAACCCAAAACCCAAAAACCCGAAACCCTGAACCCTATAATAAACCCTATAACCCCTATACCCACCCTCAACAAAAAAACTAAACCCAAAATGCAAAACCCTAATCCCTATCAACCCCTATTCCCCCTACTGCAAACCCTACACCCTAAACCCTTAAAACAAAAAAAAGAAAACCCTAAANNTAAACCCCCCCCCCAAAAAAAAAAATAAAATAAAATAAAAGGCGACGGGAGGCCGCAGGAAGGGACCCGGGCCCTTCGAGGACTCGCCGGAGCGAGGGCCGAGCCTCACCCCGGGCCGGGCGATGAACTGCTCCTGGGCTCGGAGGCGGTTTCGGGGAGAGAAAGGGGGTGGGCACTTCTCCGGAGGGTTGAGGGAGGGTTTAGGGTTTTGGGGTTTAGGGAAGTTGTTGTTTTGGGATTTAGGCAGGGTTTCTGTTCTCGCCACTGCGAGCGCTCACGAGGGCTTAGGCTCTCACAACTCGGACAAGCCAGGCGAGGTTCCAAAGTCGCCGGTGGGTGTGATACTGACAGATCAGGAGGGTTTAGGGTAAGGTTTAGGATTAGAGAGGGTTGTGGGTTTAGGGATCAGGGCTTTGGGTTTAGTGCAGGTTTAGCATGGGCGTAGGGGATTTCGGGTTTACGGAGGTTTTAGGCTTAGGGTGTAGGGTTTAAGGCTTTGGGTTTCCTACTTCCCAAATACCCATGGGTTGACAAAGTTCAAGGTTTCAGAATAAGACTACCACACGAGAGCACCAAAAGTTGAAAAGTTTGGTTTTTGGACTCACAAGGGGCTTAGGGAAACCCCCAACCCTAAACCCTAAACCCTAAATCCTAAACCCTAAACCCTAAACCCTAAAGGGCTTAGGGCACCAGAAATTGAGGGCTTGGGCTCCGAAGCCAGGAGAGCTTCTTGTAGGGATCCGGGCTTAGGATGAAGGCTTAGGGTTGAGGGTTTAGGGTTTATAGGGTTTAGGGTTCAGGGTTCAGGGTTTAGGGTTTAGGGTTTAGGGTTTAGGGTTTAGGGTTTAGGGTTTAGGGTTAGGGTTGAGGGATTTTGAGGGTTGAGGGTGTTTCTAAGTAACGTAAGGGCTCCTTTTGAGGTTTCGGTTCTATTTACCCGAGCTCCTGAGCTTGGAAGTTTTTCAGGGTTCATCAGTGTCCTAAAGGCTTGGTTTACTATTGACCTGGGTTTAACTCGGACAAGCCAAGGGCTTACGTATTCAGAAAGCTATTTTATCAGGGATCTATGATGGTGCCGGATTCGGTCACAGCCTTATAAGGTTTCATTTTTCCTTTAAACCCGGCTTCTTTTTGCCGCCGCCAAGGGTGTGAGTCTGCTCCGGTCGTAGTCCGATCGTCGCCAGCCAAGCACAGGCTCCGATCACACAAGGGTCACGACTTGGACCAATGGCTCTAAGTAGATACCTCCCAGCCCTTACTTGTCCAGTATCCTAGGGAACTGAAGGTAAACCCGGTAGGCTTAGATAGGGATGATGATACTACTCCAAAAAAGAAGGGTTACATGCTTTCTACTAAGAGCCCCTGTTACAACCCTTAACCCCCTAAACCCTACTTGAGAATCCTTGGCGGGGATGCCATCTCGGAGCCTGGTGAAAATTTACCAGCGGTGCAGGAGCCGGAGGCTATGTCAGGGGCCCCTTAGTTTTCAATGACCAGGGTCCTGGGACCCATTATACTAGAAGTCTAACAAGGAACCCCCAAAATAGTATGGGTAATTTTCGAAGTCCCTATATTGCTGCTTCAGCGAGTCGCCTCGCTGGTGTATGTACATGTATGTGTATATGTACAGATGCATATATGTATATTAATTTATGTAATCGCGTGTTGACCTATTTGTTTTACTAGTTCATTTATGTGTGTATTTATTCATTAACTTACATACTTATTTCTTTACACTTGTGTTGTATCTAAGGGACATGTACGCGTATGATAAATACATATATATACATACATACATATACACGCACATACATATCCAATATATATATATATATATATATACAATATATACATACATAGATGTATATCTACAGTGTGCATGTCAGTGTATGCGTGTCTGTATCACGGCCCTAGGTACCCGTATAGAGTAAGGGCCTCAGACAGCAGGTCTGGAGATCCTGGGCTTTGCTGGATTGAGAAATTCAGTTCTGAGTTGGCGCAGCCTTGAACTGTCGCCGCCCCCTGCACCACATGAACTCCCGAGGGGGGGAAGGGGGTACTTTGGTCTAGTTTATGTAGTATCGTTGCTATAGTTAAGGATTGATGTTACTTCTCGGGGCTCAAAGAACGAAGGTTCGAAGAGATCTGCCGTGGCCCTCACAACAAGATTTCCACGTGCGCATTCGTCAAGCCACAGCCATATTTCGGGACGGGCTTCTTCGATGCATCCAGCTTTTCGGCCATGAAAGACAGTGTCTTGTAATTCTGGCCTGCGTCGCCCAGAGCACCGTGGATCCGGCTCAGCGAAAACATCCGCAGAACGGAACCGGAGCCGGATTCGTAGATTGCAAAGTCCAAGATGTCGGCGTTTGGGCCCTTGTACTTGGGAGCATCATGCCGGCCCTGGAAGATGAACTTGAAGGACTTCGGCTCAGTAATGTTGTACGGGCGGAGGTCATCTCCTGGATTGGGATCGCCACCCGTAACGTAGCTGTAGCCGTCCTCCTGCAGGCCCTTCAACACGTCGAGAGTCTGTGCGTAAGCCTTCGCCGGATCCATGGCAAGGGCGAGCTCTGCCAGGCAGCATGCATTGCCGCAGGAACCCATGTCTGGTTTGTCGCAATCTGGAACCTTCGACGGAGAGGGTCCACAAACGCTTGAGGAAGCTTGCATTGCGAGATCGAAGAAACCCCCACGCTGAATGGACGCTGGGGAAGATGCCGCCGGAAGTCCACAACCATGCACAGGAGTGGGCTTGTTGGAGGTAAGCTTCTGCGAAAGGAAAGCCAGTGTCTTGTAATTCTGGCCTGCGTCGCCCAAAGCACCATGGATCCGGCTTAGTGAGTACATCCGCAGAACGGAACCGGAGCCGGATTCGTAGATTGCAAAGTCCAAGATGTCGGCGTTGGGGCCCTTGTACTTGGGAGCATCATGCCGGCCCTGGAAAATGAATTTGAAGGGCTTCGGCTTCGAGACGTTGTACGGGCGGAGGTCATCTCCCGGATTGGGGTCGCCACCCGTAACATAGCTGAAGCCATCGTCCTGCAAGCCCTTCAACACATCGAGGGTCTGTGCGTAAGCCTTCGCCGGATCCATGGCAAGGGCGAGCTCTGCCACGCAGCATGCATTACCGCAAGAGCCCTTGTCTGGCTTGTCACAGTCCGGCACTGTCTCTGGGTGGCTGCCACAAACACTCGGCGACACTGCTGCCGCCGATGCAAGGCCAGCGAAGAGGCCCAGAACGCGCATGGCTCCGGGCAAAGCACGAACCGGATCTGGGGAATGGCGATACTTTGGGCCTCAATGGCCGAAGGGCCGAAGGGTTCTTCGCGCTCTTGGCAAAAACCTGCGAGCAAGCAGCTTTCTTGTCAGACTGTGTTACATGACCTGAGCTCGGAGGCTCGAGTGCAACCGTGTGTCAGTACTAAGAGCGCGTTGAAGGCGACCACTGGCCCCTTTCCAGAACAGCATGGCCTCTGCCAGGCAATGTTGGGGCTCACAATGTAGATGGGTACGTTTGAGGGGTATGGGTTACTGCAAGGGTTGCACAACATTGGGGTAGCAAGCCTTGATGATTAGATTACGCTTTTTCGCATTTCATAGTCTAACTAGTAATCAGGAACCCTGGCGAATAAAGAACTTCAACATTGACCGATGCACTTTCCATGTCTGCCCCGCAAACAGGTCAACCGCCTCTACACGCAAACGAAGGCAAGCTTCACGGCGTTGTGCTCTACGGACATAGATACTACGGCTTAGTGCCTACAAAACAGATCACGTGTTATGTTGCTATACTAACATGTAAGCTAAGGTTGAGTTGCGTTGTTGAGCGTGCATGTAGACGATTTGGGGTTATCTACAAATGCCCCTGCTCAGATTCTACGTGCCAAGTTTGCCTGAGCCATTTGGGGGTTTCCGAAAGATAGAGGACCCTGATATAGTACCCTGAACAGTAGGGTCCTTAATATAAGGACCCCCAAAATAAGATACCCCTTATCTTCGGAAACTCCCATTTACACCAGACTCCAGGAATCGCCAGGCCAAGCTTCGTCTTCTCTGCATCGGTCGCAAGTCGTAGATTCCGATATGCTCCGGACCGAGGAGTGCTGCAATGGAAACCGAAGCTAACAACCCTGATCCCTCTAACCCTGCTTTCTTATCCCCTGACCCGAAAATCCTAAATCCTAAAACCCTAGTCTTAATGCCTACAATGCTGAAACCTTAAGCCCTGAACCCTAAAAACCCTAGAGACGCCTAGGTTCTAAGCCTTCAAGCGGTCGGGGGCCTCTTTGTAGACGGCCACCCCTTCCCGCTGCTCCAGGCGCTCCAAGGAGTGAGCGTGAAGCTGAGAAAAGCCCCAGACCTTCTTAAGCATCCTCAGAACTAGGGTCTAAAAGAGTTTAGGGGAGGTTCCTGGGTAATTGCAAGTAGGCTTAGAAGTAGGGTAACCACGGTTTTGGGTTTAGGGTTTAGGGTACTTCGAACCATGCAAAAATAGCATTGCGAATAACCCCAAGAGTTTTATTTTAACGAAAAGAAACCATAAAGACACGTAATTGAGTTTTTTCGATCATCCCTTGGAACTGTACTATAATAACACTGGCACGGACATAGTGTAATACGGGGTCCACTGCTTGATTCCCCGGATTTCGGGTTTCGGGTTTTGGGAGTGTTTTAGGATCTGTGACGAGGGCTCTGTTCCGGAGGTGTGTTTCATACTAGGGCATTGAAAGGGCTTTGACAGCGTTGCAGCAGGCTTGTTCGGCTGGCACAAAGGGTTTTGAGAGTTTTATTCGGATTAGAGCAAGGGCCGCCTACTACAGTTTCTGTTGCTGTACACTCTGTGCTTGCCGAAGCAGTGCAAGTCACGAGTCACTAGGAGAGGTTAGTACATACGTCCATGCCTAGATTTAGCTACTACTGGATGACATGACATAGCAAGGAATTGTGGTCGAGAGCTGGGAATTTAATCTACTACTGGCATCTTATATATATATATATAT